TTTCAGATACCCGATAGACTCGAGTTTCTCAAATTGTAGCACACATGAATTAAACAAAGAGTACTGTTAAAATGACAAGGGAATTGGAGAAATAAGCTATATTTATGATTGGAATATTTATTCTATTTTATTAATTTTAGACCATTTTAAATATTATAATTTAACTCTGAAAATGACGAAGCACTTGAGGGACAGAATCAATGTCATTTGTGTCACGTATTAAACTCAAAGCTGGAAAAGAATCTTGCCCCGAGACAGTGAAGGAAATGCGAAATTATAGATGTCAGAGACAGGGGAGGAACGTGCTGTTAGATTATATACGGCTGCGGAGATAATGAAAAACGCCAGAGCCAAGGAAACTGAGGAACAGGCAGCATTAAGGAGAATGCAGGAGGCTCAACGAATGGCCAGGCATCGTGCCAAGAAAAAGCGTTGCCTGGATGAGAATCTTGCGAGGGAGATTTCCAAGATCGCCGAGCTGTCCAAGATGCCCGTTCCTGATTCCACTACAATAGCTCAGATGTCCGAGATGAATATGAATAAAATATCCGCGGAATTGAAGCAAATGATGGAGAGGGGAAAAGTACCTGAGCATATAGTTCAAATGGCTCAACTCGCAGAGTTTAATAAAATGAATTCTGAATTAAACAAGATGTCACAGGACATGGCAAAGAGATATGAGATGGAGAAGATGGCAGAATACGCCAAGACTACGGAATACATGAAGATGCAGGAGATCGCCAAGATGAACGAGATGGTGAAACTTTCTGAGATGGCCAAGTATAATGACATCACCAAGATCAATGAAATGGCAAAGATGAACGAGATGATGAAAATATCTCAGATGGCCAAGATTAACGAGGTGCAAAGGATGAACGAGATAGCGAAGCTGAATGAGATGGTGAAAATGACAGAGATGGCAAAGTACAATAACGATATCACAAAACTGACTGAATTCGCGCAGATCAACGAGATGGCGAAAGAGATCGCGAAGATGAACGAGAAGACGAAGATGAATGAAATGATGAAGATGGCAAATATACAAAACGATATCGTCAAGATGGAAAGACCAGAATACCAGAATGTCAAAATGACAAATGAGATGGTGAAACTGAACGAGCTGGCCAAAATGAACGAAATAACAATTACGAAGCTGAATGATCCGCCGAAGGTACCGGAGATTTCGTCGCTACCACCGCCACCGCGTATCCCCGAACCTGTAATCACCGTGCCAAACCCAAGGAATCTGCAAAACGTGCAGACCGTACAAGTGGCACAGGCCAGCCCGTCCAGCATGATCAACTACCAGACCGTGCCCGGCCAGAACAATTATGGCAAGTTATTGAATATCATTGAGGAGCTCGGCAGAGACATCCGTTTGTCATACGCAGGCAGCCGCAGCGCCGCCGAGAGGCTGAAGAATGGCATTCAGCAGGCTAGGATCGCCGTGCGGGATTGCTTGCACGAGACGCAGCACAATGCGCAACAATGATCTGCCGACATGAGTTAGATAGCGATTAGATTACTTGTAGCTTTTTATCATTTCATGAGACATTGCTTTGTACGAACTGCTTAAATTTGAACTGCGGTATTAACACGACGTGATATATACAGTAGCGGACGTACATGCATAGATCGAGCATTTTGTTTCTAGAAAAAACAAATCTAGACTGCAATCCCTTCATTCTATGCGATATGTATGGTCTTTTTCTGAAAATATGATAGTGTCTCGGCGCTAAAACAAGCGCAGCGATTCGATCTCGATTTCTTAGCTCGGTTCCTGCACGTACGTCGCACGAACAATGGCTGACAGTTTCCTATTTTTAAGTTACAATTTAATACATAGAAATGGGAGGGACGGTACCAATTTGTATACACACACTGTACTACTTAGAGAATATTAGAGTCTTAGTTTATATTTTATAAAAAAGAAAACAGAAAAAAACGGTTATATCATAATTTTTGTTAAAACTCGCATATGCTGCAAATTTTTAGTATACGTTTTGAGTGAGAAAAAGAAAAGAATGCAAAGTAAAAGCTTTTCAAATATGTACCTAATGGAAAGTATAATCCCGTAAATATTTCCCGTAATATATCGTTAAATAAATAAAAATTTTGTATACAATATGGACATCTCGCTCTTCTTTTCCTGACTTGGTGCTTGTATAGTACAATGAATCAAAAAATGAAAAATGGTCAGTAAATTGAAACATAAGAGACGTATCTTAAGACATTGAAGGGAATGCTAGAATAGGAAGGAATGGGCGATAGGCTAAAAACCAATTTGGAAATTGACCTTTAGGTAAAAAAAAATAATTTTTTTTCAAAAGTCTTTAAGACTATTTTAAATCGATCTTAAAAATTCATTTCTTTTTTATCTAAAAGACAATTTCCAAACAATTTTTAGCGTATCGTTCATTCTTATGCTACAGCGGCAGCCGAACTTGATTGATGTCAATAAAACAAATTCTTATAGAATAATTTATCCTCAAAAAGTCACTTAGAAAATGCACTAACAAAAAACCAATGTTCTAGTGAAAGGAAATGATTTAAGAATGTATGGGCATCATTTTTACAAATGTGTTAATATTTATACTTTAAACGAAGGATATACAGGGTATTCCGAAATTTTTTGCTCAGCACTCTTGTATATAGATAGAGCGGACTAAACTGAGTCGAAAAGTTCTCTACCATTTTGCAATTTTCGCAATAGTTAACAAGATATTAATTATTAAAAATCACTGAATATTG